CGACTATCTTCAGATCTATCAGAGACAAGATATACTAATTAATGAAATATTCGTGACAAAAATACAATGAAAAAACTTAGGGACATAAGTGTTGTATGGATTCAATGTAATAAACAATTTATGCAATTAAAATGTGGTGAACTTATAAGAAAATGTAGTGTGAATATATTTAGCCTTATTTATTTCATGTGCATGTGAATTGTATCCTTCAAAAGATATTCCTTTTGCTTATTTTAATTTGGGATATTTTCATGGTTGTTACAAATTTTGAAAATGCGAAAAAATTTCTCATTTTTACAAATATTGCTAAAAAAATATCATTTTTTGGGTGTGAAAAATCCAAATCAATTCTTGGGAGCATTTAATGCTCATTAATTCATACATTTAATGTCATTTAATGTAATGACGTGATCACTTGACAAGTGTAATATAAGAATAATGTTATTTATTATTATAATGATGAAACATCAGTGATATTGTAGCTTATGTAGAATAATGGGATTGGACGGTTCAATTTTTATGAAAGAGATGGAGAGGAGATAGAATGAGAAATATGAGAAATAACGAATTGTCACATCATCGATATTGAATCTCATGATGATAAATAGCATTACTCGTAACATAAACCCATGACTATACCCTTGTTTGATCTCCGTTATTTTCAAAATACATTTTTCTCTCTTATTTTGAATCATACATTTTTCAATAAAATAATATTACATGCAAACTCAAAACTTTTCCTTATTTTTTAACCACACATTCTCCATCAAACCACTATTCCAAAATGCATTTTTGTCAAAAAAAACGTGACTCAAACAGGCTATATGTATTATATAATATTAATGGGTAATAGAATTGTTAACCAAAAAAATTCATTCATTAGTTTGGTTGAGTGAAAATTAGATTTTCACCCCCAAAAAAACCCCCAATTTTGTCTCCCTCTCCTCCATTCGCATATCAAGAAGAAAGTAATCTTGAATTCATCTTTCCCTTTTTAGAGGTTAATATTTACAAAATGTTTAATTTTTGTATCTTCTAACTTAGTGTTTTTCAATTGTAAAAAACAACATGCTCATATTAATTTTCAATTTTCTTAAATTATTATTCATTCATTAGATTTGGATTTGCATATGTTTTTTAATGAAGATAATGTTCCCCATTAAATATTGTGGAGCGTTTCCTATTTAATAAAGCATATCTTTTTAATACAAAATGTACAATTTGCTAAACATATGTCCTTCATATAAAAGTTTGAGAACAACCATTTCTAAATGGTCTTTATACACTCTTTCCCATTATTAGTCAATCCAATATCGTCAACATCAAAATTATAATTACAACATACCATCATATCTTTATATAAATATAATGATTTTCATCCATATGATAAATTTGTATAAGATTTAAACCCTGTTAAAAAATAAATACCGCTGTTAAGATGATTGCAATAGGCCATTACTATAACTATAAAGTTATCACATTACTAAAAGGCATTTAACATGAATTTTACAAGTCCAATCATGTGTATCTCTTTATTCAATTCTTATTTGAGAATAAAATACAGCTTCTAGGTCTATTTGATGTAACTCTAAATTTAATCACACTATTACAGCTAATATAGGCCTAAAGAAGTTAATCTCGCTGTCATGAAAAAAGTTTATCTAACTCAATACACTCATATTGAGTATAACATTTTTCAAAAGAATGAGCTTTATGTTGACCTATGGTTAACCTCATATTTTGATTATAAAAAAATAATTTTTATTTCTAACAATTGAATTCAAGTCTGTATAGTTATTGTGGCCAAGTTGATCAATTGAAGACAAAAAGATCGCTACCAAATCGCAATTTACGATCAAAGAAAATCGATATGGAAGCCGAGCATTCACGTCAAATCGAGTATTCATTGAAACTATTAGACTTGGATGCTTTGGATTCATATGTAAAAGCAAAACATTTTAATCCTTAGCAATGATCACTAAAAGCTCAAAAGTTGAATTTTTATGTACGAAAAAATTTATTTCATAAAAACGCTAGCATAAAAATTATTTTTCAAAAGATAAGAATTTCAACTTGATATTTAAACTTTTTACAAGTATCACTTACGTTGAAAAATAAAGTGTAAACGTCCTTCAAAAGCCTACACTTTTCAAAACAGTCAAGAAAGAAAAATTCGAGAAAAAATTGTCCAAGCGAACGTCTGGTTCAGTATGCTGACGTCCAAATAGGTCGTCTGGTTGGTCAGAATTTTTGACGTTTTGACCGCTATAAATACCATTTCACTCTACATTCAATACAACACCTTTAAGAGCATTTACGTGATATGTTCTTGAGCAAAGTTATACTGATTTATCTTTTTCAAATCATTTACTTTAAAAAACTTTTGATTGAATTAACTTTTGAAAAGCATTCTACTCATCAAAGTTTTTCTCACCTAACACTTGAACTTCATTAATTACTATTTATTAAAGTGTTAGCTTATTTCTCTATTAGTACTTAATTTGATCATATCATTTATTAAGTGAGAAGTTTCAAATTGTAAAATCAATTTCTTTTTAAATTTGTGGTCCTGTTGAGGTCTAGTAAAGTTCAATATTATATAAAGATCGGTACTTCTTGTTTGTAAGTCATTGAAAGTGTTGTAAAGGGTTGGATTGCACTATAAATCAATCAATATAGTGAAAAGACATTGTTTGTACCGGAGAGATTGGTAACGGAGGATGTAAATCATTGTTTTAAAATCAAACCTCCATAATTATATATCGTTTGCATCATCTCTCCATTTTACTTATCGCATTTACATTTGCGCTTATTATTTGAATTTATCTATTTAGTCTTTACTTGCTTGAATTTATATTAATACTTCGAAAAATTTTTAATAACAAATTCACCCCCTCTTGGTTAATCATTTTTGAGCTACCACTTTATCTATCATAAACTCATTAGTATTCCAATTAATTTTCAAGGACTTGAATGTTCTCAATAAACTTAACGTCCAATTAAAACTTCCACCACATCCCAAATATGGTTGAAATTCTATACTTCATACATATACTTCCATCACTATCTTTAAATTTCTCCACTGATTTTCTGATCCAATAATCATTGAAATTAGATCACTTCGACTCGAAAATGACTTACTCTCACTTGAATCAGAAGTTTAAATCCACTCTTAGATATTCAAAACTGATTCATCAATACATATAATATCAATTTCAATAATATTCTCCAAAGTTTTCTCCTTTACTAGAAAAAAATGTCAAATATCACATCTTACGACTCAATATCCATTCAAAATCTCACTTAAGTAGCTTTTTGGATTGTCATGTATATCTCATAGATATACATCTCGTTTTTAATAGATTCATGTTCCTAAACTCATTATCAAGAACTTAGATAGTCGATTACGAGTCTAAGACAACCCATATTTGGTTATCTACGTGTCCAAAGCTTATATATTCTGAATGTACTAATATTGAGAGGACTCCATTAAATGACTGGTTGCAGTTAGCCAAAACTCTTTCCATAAAACAAAGCACTAAATTGGACTGCATTATCTTAAGTCTCATCATATTTAGCAATATTTCATTCATTCTACCCAATAGACCATATAATTATTGATGATCAAGGAATAGTCAATCCAATGAGAATTTATCGTTCGTTACCTAGTCATGATAGAGATTCATACTTTTAAAGAGTTCTCAAACTCTTCACTTCCACAGTCTAACTTTCTACTCCCTTTCAATAAAGTCTAAATCAATACAATATCTTCAACTTATGAAAATCAAATGCACAATTGATGTGCATGAATCCATCTATAAATGTAATGAAAATATGAAATTTCATCTCAATCTTGCAAGAAATTCGGATGTATTTATTCTATAGAACTTTAGATCTACAGCTTTAAGTGGTTTTCTCAACTCAAAACCTCAA